TTTTTTTTTCTTTGCTGGCAAGGACGGGCCGCCTGGGCAAACAAGGTGACCTGGGTGGCTTGGCTGGTAGCCCAGGTGCAGTTGTGCCACCGTTCTGAATCGATGCATTTCTATTACAAAATCATAAGCCGCTATGGCTCAGTGGTAGAGCATCTGTCTTGTAAACAGAAGGTCCAGAGATCGATACTCTGTGGCGGCAATGAGTCATTTTTCTTTGAGGAACTGCTGATTTGATCGGGCCCATCTGTCGTGTAAGCAGAAGGTCCACAGATCGATACGCTGTGGCGGCAGCAGAGTCTTGATCAGAACTTGACCCATCTGTCTTGTAAACAGAAGGTCCAGAGATAGATACTCTGTGGCGGCAGCGGAGTCTGTTCTCTTGGAGACACTATTTTTGTCCCAGAAACTTTGATTGGACTGGAACTCACCCCGGTTATCATCTCTGTGTTCGGTGAGTGCAGAATGAGGCCCCTAGAACGAACAAGATTTGGGAGAAAATATGTTGCATATGTTGTTCCTGGCCTATTGGCTAAGATCAAAGAGGGGGGGGGCGGGGGGGGGGGGGGTTAGGGAAGGAAAAACATCCGTGGGCGAAATAGCGAGATAAAGTGAAATCTCTCAAAGGACTTTCGTTGTGTTACTTACGAATTTGCTTTTCTCTGTTCTCTTGTCCATGAGGACATTGGTCCAAAAATGAAAAAAACAATACTGGGACCTGTACCCAGATTCCTTGTTCTTCTGGGTTGTTTGTTGAGGATTCCCGGGCTCTCCATTTTGTGTGAGTAATCAAAAGAGCTGAGTCTTTTTGTGTAAAAAAGAAAAAAACAAACTATGCCGGAGTGTAGTAGCCAGTTTTGAAGTCAAGTTTTGAAGTCAGGGGAATAACATGCACCTGCAACTTGGGGTGGAGTGCAGTCACTGTGCCAAAGTGGGCAAAAAGGACAGGAATGACGCTTACGATGTCCTGCAAGTTCAAAATTCTTTCTTTCTTTTCTTTTCTTTTTCTTTTTTTTTTTCTTTTTTTTCTTTTGCAAGTTCAAAATTCTGAAAAATGGGAGGTGCTGTTACTGGTTGTTTCCCCGTGCACTGGGGCGGGAGCAGGTACCGGTAGTGGGTCTCCCATTTTTGGGCTGTGGCCTTAGGTGGGTTGGAAAACGATCCGGGTGGAGAGGGGTGGAAAAGGGGAGCACGGTGGGTTCGCTGACGTGGACCACGCCTCGCGCTCAACGAACACCCACCCTAAGCTCTCTCTCTCTCTCTCTCTCTCTCTCTCTCTCTCTCTCTCTCTCTCTCTCTCTCTCTCTCTCTCTCTCTCTCGTTCGCTGACGGTAGATTCATGCCCTTTTCCATTAGAGTCGTGCTGCTGGACGAAATTGGGTCTGCACCTCGAGTATGTGTCTTTCTGCTCTAGCCATATATCTTATGCCAGATTCATTTCCCTTTTTAGACACTTTTTTTCTTTCAGAATCTTGTTTGGCTGGGATCCTACTGGGACCCAGCAGCCAATCTCGCCTGGTAAGGCTTCCAAGTGGCATTCAGGAGGTCTTGGGTTCAATCTCCATAAGCATCATCTACCTTCCTGGACAACGTTGGCACCTGCCACCCTAGAGATGAACTTCAATCACAAATCAGCATTGAGCAGTCTGCTGATGTTTGTAGGGAAGGGGAGTGTGTTGGCCAGATCTAGTCCTTCCTCTTTTTTAACAAGGACTCGATCTGACTAGTCATTTTAACAAGGACTCGATCTGACTACTCATTTTGTGATTTTGCGAGTTTGAGGGCCTAGTGTGAGTATGCTCTAAGGGGCCTAGCATAGAATGATTTCTGGGAAAAAAAAAAAGAAAAAAAAAAAGAAAGAAAAAGAAAAGAAAAACGCCCCCCGACGTTACTTCCCATCCACAAGCACACTCTGGCCCCTAGTCATCTGCCAGAACATGGAAAGATACATTATCAGAAAAAGCAAAAGCAAAAGCAAAAGCATGCACCTTATAAACCTCGCGTGCAGGCAAAACAAGACCTGCATGAATATCAGAAAAAGCAAAAGCAAAAGCATGCACCTTTTAAACCTTGCGTGCAGGCAAAACGAGACCTGCATGCATCTGGCTGCAACTCCGTCCACTCTCGGGCCGAGTATCCATGCGTCTGGCCTCAATTCCGCCCAGACCCAGAAGTGCGACCTCGGAAACATTTACAAAAATTCCTAAACTAGAAACAGTACAACGACCTCGAGCTGCCCGCACATCACTAAAGGACCACACGGCCCTCTCCCAGGACCACAAACGACCGGTCCGTGCCCGGTCACTGACCACAACCCTTTATTGCATGCAAGCACGCAATGACACCCTATATACCCCTGTAACCGGTCGACAACTCCACCCCTGTAACGGGTCGACGACTTTCCGGATATAGAAACCCACGCTACACGACAAAAGACATCCATGCCTACGCGGCGAACGGTAGTTCTTATCTGTTCTTTTTTTTATTATAAAAAGCTGCCTTCTCCTCATCGGGGGACAGCCATATATTTCTCTCTCACCTCACATATCTTTTTAACTGGCATGTCATGGAAAATATCTTTCTTTCTTTCCTTTTTTTTTTTTTTTTTTTTTTTTTTTTTTTTTTTGGGAAAAAAAAGGAATCCGTTGTAATGAAAGTAAAATGAGGCCGGGAATCCCTCACAAACAACTCGGAAATGAAACTGTCACAGGCTGGGACCATTACCCAGTGTCGGTATGTGGGTTTTACCCGAACAACACTTGGCAGAGCCACAATATCCTCAATCCAAACAAGAAGTGCGGCTCGTCTTTCAATGAGGCCAGACAGCAACCTTGAAGCACCAGTACTTGGCCCAGCTATCGGCCGCGGCGCTTCCCCGTTAACGCGCCGCGCCTTTAGGGCTTTGGGGTACCGAACCACAATGGCTGGAAGCACCAGCCAAAAAAAAAAAATGAAACGGTACCCCCGCGCTTCGGCAAAAATTGCCGTGCAGGGGCATTCCAGGCTCAGCATCGATAGCTGGGCCAAGTACTGGTGGTTTAAAAAGGAAGAAAACTGTATCAGAAAAAAAAAAGAAGAAGGCCCCAATCAAACAGAAAAACAACCCTGTCCTAAGCTAGCCTAAAACCTAATCAGGGGTAATGCCCCCTTACTGCCCCTCCTACTGCGGCGCGGCGGACCCATTGGTCCATCTACATCTGGGCACTCCCGAAGCCCGACGTTCCCTCTTGCCTCCTACTGCGGACCTTACAACCGAGTGCCCTGGCTGGTACTTAAGGATAACGACTCCAAACTAATAAACCTACTAACAACATGGTCGATTCCATACGATTAAACACTTCAGGAGTTTTGGTCCTCTCAAAGCTAAAGAGATTGCGATACTTGGGACTTTACACCGAATCTCAAAGCTAAAGAGATTGCGATACTCGGGACTTTACACCGAATCTTAACTAACTCAACGAAACAATCAGAGGCAGTTGACGTGATAAAGTGGTTTTTTGTTGAGGCTCGCCAGCTGGGGTATCCAGTTGAGGTTCTGAGACACGCTGTTTTTGCCATACGAAAAGCAAAGCTTAATAAAAAAGCTGCCGCGAGGATCATCAGGTGGCTACATGAACTGGAAAGTAAGTAGCAAATCAGGACGACAGATGAACAGGCTCTGCCGACTGAACGCCTTTAGGGACTGCCGGTCACAGGACCTCGGAGTTACCTGACTGACTGACAACGTCGCCGGGACATTCCAAGTCTGACTGGAATTTCCGCATTCAGCGCTACGGCCATAACTGTCGCGCCTCTACAACGGACGGGATACTGGACTACTCACTTCAAACTGAGAAGTACCGCAAGCACGTGGGTACTACGGAGCACCGGAACAGTCAGGTACGGTGTTTCATTTTTGAAAGTAGGATTGGTACAGAAATTTTGGTACAATGTATCTAGCATGCAGACTGGGCATGAAGGGCTAAAAACAATTTTGGATGAGAATTTTTTTTTGAAGAGTGACTAAGTACATTGCATTAGCAGGCAGATCGGGTTTGACGACTCCAGCGATCCGACGGAGCAGACTGACTGGTGATCTGGGAAGGAGGATGAACGGCGGGAGGAATGGAGTGTACCTGGAACTTCGAATACGGGAGGCAGCCTACGGGAGAACACTATTTATTCAGTAGAACTGAGAGTTTTCATCGCCTGAGTGGACGAGGCAGAAGGGCGATGCTGGCTTGCGATTCGCAAGGCAGCTATTTCATGTTTAGCACATTATGTCCTCCGCGAGAGTAAAGCCTCACATTTTGTGCTACATTGAGTATGAACGACTTTTCATGCAGCCCACCTGAGCATACGGGAAATTATACCCGTGTTGGTCTATGGGCAAACCTCTTGTCGATTCGTCGATGATGAGGGTTTTTTGTTGATTCTCCCTGTTGTGCAGGTACTTGAGTACGGATGATGCAACCGGATTTGCGTTCGAAGTTTATGGAGTTCAGCTTACCTTTGTGGACGGCGAGGAGCGTTTTTTGCAGTTTTTGTGGTTTATCACTTTGAGGAGTGGCGGGTAACTTTATGGCTTTATTCGATATTGGCAATGTCAACATTACGAGTTAGTATTTATGTGGTGGTGGTGATTTTGGAGATTGCGATACGAGGGGACGGTTGTGGTATTGCGCACTTGGTCGGTAATTATCTGTTTGCAGCATTGCTAGTTGTGCATTTCTGAGTCGTATAGTGTGATACACGGCGCTTCTGTTGCGGTATGTTGAGCGTATCATTGGACTTTAGGCGGTGTAATTGGTAGGGGGATCCTTGTCAGTACCATACGAGACCAAGGAGGAGCGATGTTCGGGCGAGGCGACGTTTATTTATTTATATTTATTTTTATTATATTTATTATATTTATTATATTTATTATTATTATTATTATTATTATTATTATTATTATTATTATTATTATTATTATTATATCACACTTCGCTTTTTGGAGGATTAGTGCGATTACGAAGGAGGTAGCATCGTCTTTTTGTACTCAAGTGCACGGGGCCGCTGTCCCATTATTCAAGGACATGGGCATATCGAGATCCCGGTCAAGATCTAGGACTCCCGACCGTAGGAGGAAGAGAGATGATGACTCAAGGCGTGGGAGATCACCAGCACGGAGATCGGATCGATCTCCAGACAAGTCAAGGGAAGATAGGAAGAGGCGGAAGAGACGTCGTTCTAGATCTGGCTTATCGGATACTAGCAGGAGGAGGCGACGGAGCTCGTCGAGGGATCGGGAAGTCAAGCAGTTTGAATTTCTGTTTAATAAACCAGCTCCAGGTAACAGAGCCTGGTTCACGGTGGAGCTCCAAGACGAGCTGTATGCTCTACGCCGCGAATTGGACCGACTCTGCAAGTGCTTTGATAAGATGGCGGACACTATCAAAGAGGAGAGTGCAAGCCGTGGGGAGTTTGTCACAATGGACAAGCTGAAGCAGGCTATCGAAGCAGCGCTCCCGGAGGTCGTTGCCAAGAAGACCGCAGCAGCCAACTCGCAACAAGCAAGCAAGGCGAAGGAGGCTGAACCTGACGTGACTAAGATGGCGTCGGTGATGATCTCCCTCAAGAAGCACCTTGAGGAGGTAAGGAGTATAAAGTATGACCTAGCGTCACTCAAAGGGTCGGTCGCTAATATGAAGACGCCGGCGATGAGACAGTTTGTGTCACCACGACAAATGGTGGCCAACGGCAAGACTCCGACAAAGAAAGTGACCCCTGCGGCAAACGGCGGCGGCCCAAGCAGTGTTAAGATGAAGACGAGGCAACAAATGGACCCTCGAAACAGCGCAGCGCGGGCTAAAGCACGTCGACTAATCTTGCATGGTATGCAGATCTCGGAAGACATGCTAAGTGCGCTTCAGATGGAAGATTTGAAGCAAGTTTGCACGATGCACAATGTCCGATATCGGGGTATGCCGCAGGCGCGCGTTGCCTTAAGGAAGATCCCGGGACTGATTGTGTCGGACACGGAAGATTTACCTGACCGTTCTATCACGGGCGAGGAGGTTTAAGGGAAGAATGCAGAAGTGGAGCAAACTGATGAATTGGAATCTGAAGGAGAGGAGGGCGAATCATCTGAAGGAGTCGGTTGCTCCGAAGGACCTGAAAAGTCGAAGGACGTACAACCTAGCACTAACTAGGATAGATTACTCGGCTCCACGAGCCTGCAACCAGCAATGGTTTGGAGCCTTGCGGAACAATGCAGTCGTGCTATCCGGCTACTGATCAAGGATCGCAACTCGAAGGACTGTGTGACGATCAACAGAGCGTGCAGAAGGGCGGTACTTTTACTGATGATTAGTGGCGAGTTTAGATGGGCATCAAGAGCTTTTGCACTACTTAGGACGGTTAACTTGGACTGGGAATATGCACTTAACGTTGAGGTCTGTGTTTACATCTGGTTATCTCTGTGGTGTAGACATTACTATGTCGGGAAGACTGTCAGGGGGTTAGATCATCTGTGGAAAGAACATGTTACCGCTGTGCTGAGGAGAGAAAAGAAGCAACACAGGAAACTAGATTCGTGGGTAGCTGAATTCGGGGTGCATAAGTACGTTTGTATTCCTATCTGGGTAGGAAGTGCGGATGTAGTTACGCATGTGGAGAAGAAACCCGTACCTAAACACGCATCACAAGAGAAAGAACATCAGAAAACGGACGTACTGTCGTAAAGCTTTGGTTTGTTCCACTGACCTGGTACCTGATGCTCCTATATTATTCTCAGCGCAAGGTGTGGTGACTACAACACTCACAGATCTGATCAAACCAAAGGCTACTATCAAATCACTCGGTGGAAGTCCTTGGGTTCAGAGGTGGAAAATTGTCAAGCGTCAATTTGGAGATACGATTCAGGCTATTGATGATAAAAAAACAGTTATTAAGAAATAGTTGTACGGAATTGGAATACGGATGCACAGCGGTGGTTACCTGTTGTGTTGAAAATCTGACATCAATGGCTAGACTGAAAAGCACTGTCATCTCTCTGTTGCACGCTCCCTGGACAAGAGCTAAGCTGTGTAGGTACTCACTAACTAAGATAATTAGATTATACTCTTGCATTCGTCTGATTACAGCAAAAAAAGCAGAGGAATACTTCGTGGTTGCTTATCCAGGGCAGCTAGCAGGAAGTACAGGGTGAATATTCGCAGACGGCTTATCTTGCGATTACCGTACTCACCGGATATCAACCTGATCGAGGTAAGGAGAGTATTCAGTAATCTTATTTCCTCAACCGTCAAGCATGGTCCACTTGCCTTGATGTATGCAAAGCGCGCACGGACTATGTTTGCACGGTTGCGGACAGTAGGAGAGATCCTACATAATCACGGAAATTTGGTTACTACGAAACCGCTCTGTCCTTGTGAACTGATGAAATTTTCTAAGGTTGATTCGCATGTTTTTTTTCGCTTATCTGATGTCGCTACCGATAAGCTGCTTTGTAACGCTAAGAATGTGTCGTACTCAGCAGGGGAAGAAAGCAGTAAGGCCATAGCAAAAGCAATCTTAATTCTATACCACTGAGGTATGTTGAAGTCATTGAACCAGTTAACGCCGATGGTTGTGTAGTTTGGGCTTGCAACTTTGACAGAGGATTGGATATAAGGACTGTTTTGACGTGGAAGAAGAGGTTACAACCACTCGTGTATTCTCCACTGGATCGAAATCCAGGCGAAACATACGTCGAGTGTCCAAAACATTTCTGGGAAAGAATGAATTGTATGTTTATTGGAGTAAGCAATTATGATGTTGTCGGTTCAACCATGCAAGACATGTTGGACAAAAGCCAGTTGGAGTATAAACAACTTGGACTGACTAAATTTGCAAAGTGGAACCAGCAAGGTACGTATGGGCATGCTTATGTGATGCCAAAGGACAAGGATATCTTAAAAAGACGACCTATAGTACAGACTTTTCAAGAACCTTCCCTGCAGGCATCTAAAATCTTTTCCTGTTGTATCAACTTTTTGGTGCGAACAATGCAGCAAGGATTTGGTATGATGGGTATAAACGAGATGGTTTCCAGAATTAACAGCATAAATGAGCAGGCTAACACAGTGCTTGGCACTAATGCCAATGTCATCAGTGCTACTTTTGATGTGAAGGACATGTTTACATGTCTTGACCATGCGCATATACTAAAGGCTATTGACTGGCTGGTCTGTCACCATCTTCAGTTGAGTCGAACACACGTGAAGATCAAGTTACAAGGAAAGAAAATCGCATGGGACAAAGCTAAGGGTGCTTGGGGATGGAAGATGATAAGAATTATTGATCTACCTCGATTGCTTCAGTTTGATATTTCACATGCAATTTTTTGAGTGCAAGGGCATGTAGTAAGGCAGACGCTTGGTATTCCTATGGGAAAAGGATCCATTCCCCCCATAGCTAATCTTGTCTGCAATTATCACGAAGCATATTGGATGAGATCATTAGGAAGCGATAAGAAGTTCATATCTGGAATGCGATTTGTCGATGACGTCTTTATTACTGCAATATGCAACAAGGAGGATAGTCGACAGGCAGGAGATCTCTTACAACGCTTTCAGAACTGTTATCATACTTCGCTAAAGTTGGAATTGACTTCTAACACCTCTGATTCTTAGAAGAAGTATCTCGAGACTGTGATTGTTAAGCAGGAGAAAGGGCCCCTCCTGAAGTGCTTACATCGATTGAAAAATCACCAATCACTCCAGGCGGGGTTTTTTGGTCGATTCCATACGATTAAACACTTCAGGAGTTTTGGTCCTCTCAAAGCTAAGGAGATTGCGATACTCGGGACTTTACACCGAATCTTAACTAACTCAACGAAACAATCAGAGGCAGTTGACGTGATAAAGTGTTTTTTTGTTGAGGCTCGCCAACTGGGGTATCCAGTTGAGGTTCTGAGACACACTGTTTTTGCCATCCGGAAAGCAAAGCTTAATAAAAAAGTTATCGCGAGGATCATCAGGTGGCTACATGAACTTGAAAGTAAGTAGTAAATCAGGACGACGGTTGAACAGACTCTGCCGACTGAAGGCCTTTAGGGACTGCCAGTCATAGGACCTCAAAGTTACCTGACTGACTGACAACGTCGTCGGGACATTCCAAGTCTGACTGGAATTTCCGCATTCAGCGCTACGGTCATAACTGTCGCGCCTCTACAACGGACGGGATACTGGACTACTCACTTCAAACTGAGAATACCGCAAACACGTGGGTACTACGGAGCACCGGAACAGTCAGGTACGGTGTTTCATTTTTGAAAGTAGGATTGGTACATAAATTTTGGTATAATGTATCTAGCATGCAAACTGGGCATGAAGGGCTAAAAAAAAATTTGGATGAGAATTTTTTTTTGAAGAGCGACTAAGTACATTGCATTAGCAGGCAAATCGGGTATGACAACTCCAGCAATCCGACGGAGGAGACTGACTGGTGATCTGGGAAGGAGGATGAATGGCGGGAGGAATGAAGTATAACAGGAACTTCGAATACGGGAGGCAACCTACGGGAGAACACTATTTATTCAGTAGAATTGAGAGTTTTCATCGCCTGAGTGGACGAGGCAGAAGGGCGATGCTGGCTTGCGATTCGCAAGGCAGCTATTTCATGTTTAGCCCATTATGTCCTCCGCGAGAGTAAAGCCTCACATTTTGTGCTACACTGAGTATGAACGACTACTAACAACATGGTTTTTTTTTTTTTTTTTTTTTTTTTTTTAATGAACAATTTGGTCCAATCTATTCGTGGGGAGCATCACGTGCTGGAAACCGGGTCCAGCATCCCACATGAATTATTACACAACATATGAGGTGCCGGGGCCATTACCCGGCTTCGGCTAAGAATCTTTTTTTGAAGAAGAACTAAAAAATTGAATACTATGGGCCTCGACTAAGAATCAACCTGTTTATTCTTCTATCCTACTTAAGCAGCCATTCCAAAAATTGCAGCGTCCTTTCATCAACATTTTTGACCAGCGTTTCCCCATTTGCCCATGTCTTGCCAAACCACCTCCGTCCTAACGATTTCTGGCATTTTCTTATCCAGTCAGCTAACATGGCAAGTCTGATCTAGCGTTTGAACTTTGAAGATTTTGATTAATTCCCTGCCTGTCATTTCCTCGTTGTTGAACCGCTGCTTGTTTCAGCCCTGCCAAATTACAGAAAAAACTATTGCTCTAATGACTTGTGCAATATAACCCCATCCCTCTTCAATTATAAACTTATCTGGCACGCCACCCAGCAGGACCCACGTTTTATCCCAAACACCCTCCTTCTGTTGGAGCAATTCGTCTTGGTCTGCAGCACATGAGAGCATTCACTACTTGGACTCCTAGGAAACGTTCTGACTGGTTAGCCTCTACTCTCCTTATTCCCCACTGAACCTTCAAGGTGTGCGAGCTGGGGAGGAGATATACTGATTTACACCAGTTAATCGCGGCCTTTGACAGTTCCTCGTGCTCCCGCAAGCATGCTCTCAGCACAGTAAGCGGGGCGCTCGTGTTTGCGACCACTGCGAAGAGGTTATCTGCTAAGGCCTTTACCCTGCAGTCCCTGCCCCCTGTTGGTAGACCTTGGATCTCCTTGTGGGCACGTATGTTGCTGGCGACTATTTCCAGCTGGATTACGATCAGAAGAGGTGTCAGGGGGCACCCTTGGCGGAGCGAGCTTGAGAGGCTGAAGCTCCTGGAGAAATAACCGTTGACCATAACTGAGGCTGTTGAGTGAGAGTGTATGGCAATTACCCATTTGTAGAAGTTCTCTCCAAAGCCAAGCTATCTGAGAGAGGTGAGGAGATATGACCAGTTGGCTCGGTCATATGCCTTCTCCATATATCCAGCAGAAGGATAGCGTAGTCTAGGGTCCATACAAAGGAGAACCAATCGCTACAATCAGAGCAGACCCAGCGCAATGGTCCTGCTTGGAGAGGGAGGGGCAAAGAGGGAACTCCTGCTGATCAGCTACACAGGTGAACTCGGATACATCCTACAAAACACAAATTCATCTCCCTAGAAGGTGGGGGGGGGAAGATGGATCAAGGTCCTACAGGTCAAGCCTATATTCATCATTCACTCACTGCTTTGCTGCTGGCAACAACTTATTCTGCTTCGCAGTCAGAGACTGGCGGTCACACTTTGGCTCTTATCTTTGCTGGCCACGCCATCCGCAGTTTGACTCTTAATGAGAGGATTGGAGGTAAATACAGTCTGTTGTAGGTGCCACTGGGCTTTTGAGTCAACCATTCACGTCTGGTGGGTGGAGGTGTTGCCCCGCTTAGGCTCGTGTTTGGAAGTGGTGGCCCGGGCAGAACAATGGGAAGCGATCTCCAACAAATATCTTTCTTTTGGCTACCTACCACTACTCTTAAGGCTATACAGAGGACCCCTGCAAGCATACC